CGCCCGTCGGCGCGCTAAAATTGCAACAGCACTCCAGAGCTATAGACGCAAACGCAGCCGGAGACGGGAATCGATCGACATTGGCCGCTAGCCCTTTGGGAGAGCATACAGGAATAGGAGGGTACCAGATTGTAAAGGCACCCCTACCCTCCTGTACCCTGTACACTCTCAGAAAGCAGGCGACCGGCGCCGATCGATATCCGTCTGCGGCGGTATATAGCATTGAGACAGCTTTGCAGTGGCAGCCCGTCGATGCGAGTCATCGCGGTCTGAAGGCTGCCAGAGACAAGTGGAGCACTTGTTAAGAGCGTGTACTGTGGGCTTCGCGACCGCGCGCTCCAGCTATCCTCAAACTGCACAGTTTCAGGGTATCGTGCACGAGTCTTCACTTTTTTCTGAGAAAGCTCGTCAATAGCAGCTGTTACATCGGAATACTACTTGGAAACAAGGACTGAAGCAAAGGCATAGCGGCACATGTATTTGGGTGGGGGCATATGTGTAAACTGTCGAGCAATGATACGAACTACCGTCCGTGGTCCGACTTTTGCCCATAACTCAGCATTCTTGTGATACGAACTACGTGCAGACTGCGTTCATACGCTAGTGGCTCGGCAGGACTTTACATGAACGCCCCCGCCTCCAAGGGTATTAGCGCCAACAAAGAAAAGGGTTACATTGAGCAAGCGTGTAAGGCTCACGACCACCCCACTTCTGAGAACTCGGTTTTTATGTCTTATACAAAAACATACAAACTGAACGCTTTCTCCAATGGGTCATCCTTGCCGAGGACAACGTCAAGGAGACACCGATCGCTCTGCTCAAGAGAGAGCGCAGACGGAGCAAACAGCACGCTATCAACGTGTACACCCTTTTTACCCCATCCCCACCCCTTAACTTGTTTGGTACCCCATGCAGAATCATATCCTTCTTCAGTACGTCGAAATCGCTGGAGACGAATTCTCAGCGGATTCGGTGATTCAGAGTATTTTTGAGCCCGTGCCTGTGGCGCAGGTATCCGGCTGCTTCAAAAAAAAAAAATAAAGCTGATTTGATATTCGTCGGTCAAGGGGTTAAACTACCCATGGGAACGAGTTTTCAGCCAAAATCTGCCCTAGTGGATAGAAAAGTTGCTTGATTTTGGATGCATAGAGTAGTAAGGGGGTAAGTGTGCTGCCGCTTTTCCTTTCACAGAGAGTTTCACCCCTTATCCGCCATCTTTCATGCCCTGTTGCTTTTTGGATGCGGACGGGGTGTCCCATACAGCCGGAGCTGTAGTAGCACGAGTGATCGCAGGAGATTCCACCGAGCGTCTTTCTTTTATCGTAGGACGGGAGTTCAGATATGGTTGATGGGGGACGTATCTCGTCTGGACAGTTTATCCGATCCGCAAAAGTGATTCTCCCGGTTTGGATTTTCGTGGTTTCTCTCGTTTTATACACGTTACATGCTTCACCCTGCACGGGGGAGTCTTATTTGGTCGCTGGGGAAAGGAGGGGCCGTCGTATTTGATGTGTGGATAATTTTTTGATAGTAGCTTTTTCTTGTCCCAAAGACGCTATAATGCGGGGGGGGAGGGGGGCGTGTTTCCTCTTGAAGACGAGGGCGGCGGGTGGTATTTGCTTTAAAAATTTGAGAGAATTGTGACTTGTCGTATTTTTCTCGTTTCACATTGGTTACATCAACCCCTTTCTCCCGTTCCGCCCCCCCCCCCCCCCCGGCTCACGCTCCGATCGTATCAGAGAGGAACTATGGGACGGGTTCATTCCAGCACCTTTAGGGGAGCGGGGGGGGGTGTCGTAACTCGACAAAAATCTCCAACTAATGATAGGCCCTGCTCTCTCTTGATCCCTCCGTAATAGATGCATGATATTTGACCTAGGACTAAAATACTTCATTAGAAAAGTAAAGTAGAAGAAAAGTCTCGTATAGGAAGATTTTCCGGGTGCACTTCATTGACCGTGTGATCCCTAAAATCATTCGAGACACCGAAAGACATCTGTTGAGATTGTCAGACTGGCTCACTCGACCCCTTTTCGGTGGAATCCTCGATGTCAGCCCCAACCCTTCAATGACGTCAAACTTTAAGTTCTGGTGTTTTAATGGAAACTGACATGCGGCACTCGTCTGAGGATTCCTATCGAAAAACCGACAATGGAAACCCGCGGGGACGATGTTTTCTACCACTTCTGCTGCTGACCAAGAAATCCCTCAGTTGACGGCCGGGACTTACTTGTCGTGAGCTTGTAAAGTTAAAAAAATAACATCAATCAGATAAGTGGAAAATTCGACGTCGATGGTCATTTTTCTTGGCTAATCGCAGCGTCACTTATGGGAATTGCGCTTACTCGTACTTCACACAAAGGCACAATCCATGCTGATCGTTGGAGCAGAGGAGTGGGCGGAGACAGTCATCCGTTGTGCTGCGCTAATAATCTTGGTTGCCACTGAGAGGATTCCTTGTGCAAAAATGGAATTAACGTCACTCAAACAGTATTAGATTTACCGTATCTGGAATCAGTTCACTCAGTCCGGAGCTCATTCCACCCTTTAGGCACATGCTTAAACAAAAGTCCCAATCTTTATTAGGGTATTTCCAAAAAGTCCTTTAAATGCCTTGCCCAAAGTTATCAACCGCCCTTTGTGCTGTCTTAACTAGCGCGTCCCCTTTTACCCTCGTGGAGGGTTACATCGGTGAGGAAGACCCAATTATTGACTATATTCGCGCCATTAAAGGCACGGTCCGCGATCAGGTATCGAAGTTGAAAATATGGCGTCAGGAGGTTAGAGTGGTCCGCGACGAACAACCTTGTACCGGTTTCGCGGCAAAAAAATTCTAGGGTGAGAGGGCGCTGTATATAGGTTCAGTGGCTCTCCTTTTTTGCAGTGACTCCCCCAGATTCCGCCTCTAATGACAGGGCCCACCAGTGAAAATGCAGATTGCGAAAGAAAGCATGATAATCGTCACTGTACAATAGTAAGAATCTTATCGAGTGAACGGTGCAAATGAGTGCGTAAGGTCGAGATCTAGGCACGTACAAACTGGGATCAATAATGGGATTTCTATCTAGGGCAGGTGGCATGTTTTTGTGCTTTTTTGTTTACAGTCGAGTTACTCAACCCCTTGTCGTCTATATGGAACCCCCTAATCCACCATCTGAGATGGCGAATAATCGCGGGTTCTGCCTTTAAGTAGATCGACAGGTCTGATAAGAGCCGCCCGAGCTCCCACAAAAAGTGAATAAAGTTGGGATGTTTTAGTCCATTTTAGTGAAAAGCACGTAATGCGCCCATGTGGTGATTGCACCTCAAAATGCCAAGTGCCAGACTTGTCTGGACAGGGAACTCCTGCACAAACGATGTCACCTTCGTCGCTCAAGAGGGTGCAGCATCGGGATGAGTGTCGAAAGGCGGTGTTGGTACAATCCCCCTTCTCCTCCCAGAGCGATCCCTGGTACAATCCTCCTTCTCAAATTCCCTCTTCCACTGCAATTCCCTTTTCCCTGCTACCTGCTATTCTCGATCCCCCCCCCCCCCCCCAACCACTTACTCTTTCTCTCGTTTTCAAGATCTTTTTCGTTTTTCCTAGAAAACTGCCGTAAAGCAGGGTTCACACCTCTGATCAACTGTCCGAAGCAATCGTGAGGTAGCGGCGTCGGCATCTAGACACGCCCTCTTGAACCAAGTACGACCCAAAGCCCATCCCAGCGACCAATCACTACCTCGATGAAAATTTTTCCCAATTTTCCTATGCCTTGTATGGATGCTGGCTAGCAATCCCTCTGCCACAGTGACCTTCGTCCCAGGAAACATATGACTGCACCGCACCACTTGAAGGAACATTTGTAAGTGATAGATGTCATGCTCCAAAGCTTTAGATCGGAAGAGCGGTTCACACGCACACAAACACAAACTAAGCGAATAAAATAATAAAAAGCGGAAATAACATCTAATCAATTTTTACATTGCTTTTGTGTGAGCGCCGTAACGTCGATTGTATATGCTTTTGATGGCTCTGTAAGGGTGATTGCTATAAAATCGATCGGAAATATTGGTCTGTATGAATTTATGGTCTATGAGATAAGTTCCTATAAAACTTGGATGAGGAAGTATGAGCGAGGTTTGGACACTTCAGCTTCAGTGATACTACAGATACAGACTGTCGAAAATCAGAACTCTTGGCGTATTTCCGTCTGGAGGGGGCAACCTTACCTGTAAACCCCTGCCAAAGTACACAGCGTTACGATTTATCATTTTCTAAAGTAGGTTATGCAATGGTAAGATTCGCCACCTCTAGCTCAATTTTCTTCGCGGCTCTGGTCATCTGCAATAATTCTACTGTCCTGCCCCACAATGGTTTCCTCATACTATTTTGTACACACAAGGGAGGTCGTTCTGGGTGTCGTGGGTTTTTTTCAAAACGGTTACTTTGGATTCTGTAGAAGCCTGTACAATTAGCAAAAAGGTAGGCCTCATTTCCTTCGCTCCGATAGGAAAAGGAATCAATGTGAGGTTCTCAGAATTTGTCAAATCGGATGAAAATCCTGAACAGTGCTTTAACTGAAGCAGTTATGCCCTGTCGTGCATGTCTCATGCTTATCATGCGCATGTCCTGGTATTGCCTAGTAGTTGAGAAATCGCGAAAGAAAATTTCCACTACAGCAGCAGCTCCAACCTTTCCTTCCTACACCTTCCATTCAGTCTAAGTTTTCTCACCTGTTTCCTGCACTTTTTGCCGATCTCTGGCTCAGACAGGAGCTATGCTTTAGCTGAGCCTTGGTGATACGCTGTGTGAGGTTAAAGGCGCATTGCTCGAAAGTAAGCGCGCTGAAATATGTGCAGAGACTCAGTCTACCTTTCCTCACTTGCGCGAGCTTTCTTTTCTCACGTGCCGTTATATGAGCTGTGAAGAGAGGGTGCACTAATGAAGGAAGACTGGCTATGGTTGTGAGTTTTGACCCATTCGATCATTGCGGAATGTGTCTTTAAGTCAGCTTCCTTACCTTCCTCGGTCTCGGTGGACTGTTATGAAGCGGTATGCGTGGCTTGGTCGGGCTTTTATACTGGTGTTTGATGCGTATTTCTGGTGATGAAGTCTGATATTGAGCAGGTTTGTGACCATCCGCATTCTTTGCACTTTCCAGACGATCGCGCTAAATTCCAGAGATGACAACGAGTAGCGAGAACAGAGAAGCAGAGCAAGCATAGATGCAGACACAGACCTGATAGATGTACCGTACGTGGTGGGTGATCGAGTGGTACGGATCGATACGCACGAAAAGAATACGCGCTAGGAATTTAAACGCAATCCGTTGCAGCAATGCCGGTACTTCTCCACCATGCACGCCTTGATGGTGAACGTTCAGCTGAAAATGAATAATCGATCGGTATCGATTTTTTGGGAAGCGCTTATGATAGCCTACCGTAAGAACCGTCATTGCAGTGGCTAGGGCAACTAGAAATATCGTTACACCATAGTAGAGACCTAAAATTTCTCTATGTAGGGCAGAGACGCAGGGGAATTCCTTAACTCTTGCCTTCTGGCTGACATATAGCTCCTACCTATTAATGGCAGGGCTTCCGACGTAGGAGGCATACCTTCCGCGACTAACATCAAGAACACCGTAGTGGAAAGAAGTGAAGTGATACCTAGATGATAGTTTGTCTTGGTGCACGATTTTTGGGACAGGCATTGAGGAGATTGTGGGTCAGGAGGTTCGATTTGCGGCGACGCGGCGAACGAAATTACGCAGACCTGCAGGGTGCCGTAAAACCAAGAGTACGCCGGACTTCAGCCGAACACACTACCTGTCTGTTCCCTTTCACTTTTAGTCGTTCGCCACCATTGGGTAAATGCGCCGCGGACCGCAGAAAAGTCACCTCACCGCCGCGCGCGTGTGACTTACTTTCTGCGCGTCGCCGCAGTCCGGATCTCCTGACCTATATCCGAGACGGTGCTTCACTTACCTAAGGTGACTTTTTCGCCAGAATCAGATGGCATATAAAAACCTAGAAGAGCTATACCGCTAATGAGCACACATGGAAGTATTAAGTTGAACACCTGAAAAGTTAGGTGGTATATTGATCGATGCTGGATATCTGGGACAGCCTCATTAGAACTCACGTAGAACATTGGCCTTCGTTCAATACTGATATGAATATTTACGAATGGATAGGGGGCATCAGGACAACAACTATAGATGATCGAATTTTTCTCTGCACTGAAACGAATAGGTGTCGTCGAGAGGACAATCAATATCAAATCAAAATCAATATCAAATGAAATCGATACTGGTCGATACTGATTAATAATTGGACGACTCACGTTATTCGCAGCAGATTCCATTCGGTACTCATCATATAGTTGCTCTGGTCACCTGCAGAGAACTGTACATTAGAAGAGGTTTTGAAACGTTCAATATCAATCAATACCTCTCTCAGAATTGAGAAGTAGATCGATTTTCGTCCCGTCGTACGCCCAACTGGCATAGTTTAACGTACACGTCTGACGATCGAACGGATAGTGCTTGACGTCGAGAGGACAAGACGATCTGGAATATAGCAATCGAATAGTGAGGAAAAAATGGTCATCACGGATTCCCATCCCGAAAGTTGAAAGGCATAAGGAGCGATAAATTGTAGTTGCTCAAAAGCAGGTGCTATATTGTGGGGAAACGACGAAAAAGCGAACTTAAACGGCCGGAAATACGCGAAAGAAACATTGTTCTGCACGGCATCGGACGAGCAGTTTTGGACGAGCTTCACTTGGCATTGCCAACAACCGCTGTGATAGATACGGCTTCACGTATGTATTAATAAATCCATGTAGCAACGCTTCATGTCCATTGTAACTTCGCAAATAAAGCGATAAGAGTACCAGCGTCGATGTGACTGTCCGGCCATTTGTGGGCGGGCAGTTGCGGTGGGCGTCTGGATCGGCATCTTGCACCTTGGCTTAGGCGCTATAACGGTTCCTTAGTTGGAAAACACGCCACACAGCGCCACACGTCACACGCCTACTAAGGGGCGCAATATTCGGCGTATCTAGGCTCTAGGCTAGGCGTATCAACCCTGCACGTCTTGTCGATTTATCTTGCCACTTGATTTTTGGGTTATAACGAGCCCGTTCATCTCTTTATGTCGTCCGGTTTTTATGGAACTCGTGTTTAGTGGACATTGTGGGCGCTTTCTGCGTTGTTCCTGGAGGCGGATTCACTAGCACCATTGATGCGCTTTCTACATTTGTTCTTTTTTGTCTCGGAACGGAGGGCTCACAGTTATAGCAAGGGCAAATTTCCGGCTGACTCCGTCAGTGCTATAAACGCGAATGTTTACTTTCGTATCAAGCGGAACTCAGCAGATAAGTTATCTTCCCGTATTGAGCGAGGACAAGGACACTTCTTCCAATGGAGTGTGTAAATGGTATGAGGGCATTCTAGGGTTTTTGTAACATTTGAAAGGCTACAGTGTACGAGTTGCGCGTGCGAGTGGAAGCGGTGTGCGCAGTGGCGTTAGTGTGGCCGCATTTTCTGGACAGCTAGTTGATCGGTTCATTGTAACACTGTTACGCCTAACCATTTAGCGCGCGCTATCACAATTGAGCCTAGTTCACCTGACGCCTTTCACATTTGGGTCTAGTTCGTTTGACGCGATCAGTGAGCCGAGTCATCTAGCCAGGAAAAGCCACGCGTTAGCGCGCGGAGGTCGTTTCCGCCTGTCAGTTCGGATCTATTGACACACCGACCTAAGGTTGTGTATGGTTCTTAGCCGTCACAATCTGTAGGTTCCTCGGGTTGCCAACACATGTTGCGTGAACATGTTCATTGTAAGACAAGGACAATGTGCTGTGGAATGTTAGGAGGGTATCCAGGTGACTGATAATTAAGGCAGTTGGCACGATGATTTGGTGCTCGGCCTAAAATGTTAGTAGGGCGCTGTATAGTGGGGAAATGGCGAAAGAACGGAGTGAAACGGTCAAAATACCGCTAACGAAAAAGAACTCCATTCTCAGTTACTGAAAACGATTTCGGACGAGTCTTCCCGTAGCCCATCTTACAATCACCTTTACCGAGTACCGGCTGCATATGTGTACCCATGTATGCATGCAGCATCACGGCCGCTTCATACCAATCCCTTCGCTTCATAATTTGCTTAGCAAATGAATGAATACGAGCGTCAGGAACGGTCGTCCATTTGTGGGCGGGCGTGGCGGGAGTCTGGGACGTAAAGTTCTTGATAGGGCCCTTATAAGGCACCTTGCTCGCGAAACGCTATGCAGCGCCTGCCAGTGTCCGTGAATTCTATCCTGTGGAGTATTGATCCTAGTCGCCTTGGGGGATTTATCGTGCCAACTGCCTTTAAGAGAAATCTTCGAAATTGCTCACTTGAAAATGGCAGCTGCAGCCCAACTGACGTTACCTAGATAATCGACGACAATATCCGTTGACATCACCGATTTTGTATACTGAGAATCGGCACTGAAATATATAATTGCCATGTCCGGTTCTATAATAAATAGTATAGAAAGATAGAAATATATAATTAACTATTACATGAACATCATCAGTTGCACAGGGTTGCTATGAAATTTCACATGTAGACGTAAGAAGTTTCAATGGGGACTGTACATTCACGCAGACTGAACTATCGATCAGGCTTCACATGTTATTTCTCGGCACTTTCGATGTCAACCGCAGCCCACCCTCCGCCCACCCCCTCCGCCCTTGGGTCGGATCGTTAAGAGGGTCGTACAGAGACAGCAAAGTTCTGCGGTAGGACCTTTTAGCAATTACTGCTACGGATATTTTTGCTCAAAGGCGGTAGGGATGCACATCTCCGATTTAAGGCATAAGAAAACCTATACGTAGGCTGCCTTTTATATTTCGGGATTCGGCAACCCCAGTGTTGCAATCTGGCAGCTGACAGCTCTATCGTAAAGTTTGACCTTTTTGAGGTTATACGTACTCAGAACATTTTGACATTTGAGCGCTCTTTGTGTTGTTTACACTAGCTTAAACTATTTTGGTCGGCCGTTGGTGAGGACAACATGTTTGGTTTTCAACGCGAACAAATTTTTTTGACAGTCAAATGTTCATGCAATATTGAATGTATGCTGGTCCCCTTGAAGCTTAAGGTTGTCTCGGACCAGCATACATTCAATATTGCATGAACATTTGACTGTCAAAAAAAATTGTTCGAAAAACCAAACATGTTGTCCTCACCAACGGCCGACCAAAATAGTTTAAGCTAGTGTAAACAACACAAAGAGCGCTCAAATGTCAAAATGTTCTGAGTACGTATAACCTCAAAAAGGTCAAACTTTACGATAGAGCTGTCAGCTGCCAGATTGCAACACTGGGGTTGCTGTTTTAATGGCCGAAATGTAAAAGCAGGCCCTCGTAACAGTTTCGGTACTCGGTCTAATAAGGTAGCAGGGGTGCTATATTGCGAGAAATATAGCGAAAAAGCCAAGTGAAACGGATAAAAACCTGCAAAAAACTTTTGCTCTACATGAGTAAAAAAGCAATTTCACACGAGTTGCCCTTTGGCATCATGCCAGTGACCGCTGCGGTAGATAGGACTGCATGCATGTATGCATCGGGGTACGTAATGTTGCAGCTTGATAGGGCGTTATAAAGGTACCTTCCTTGTGAGAAGCGCACGTAGCGCCTGCTCGAGGGCGCCGAATTCCGTTCTGCTAGGCGTATTAATCCTACACGTTTTGGGATTATCGTGCCACTTTTCGGGAAACTATCTTTCTAATTCGCCAGCTACTGCTTAGCTTTAACAGGAATGTTCAAATCTACAAGAGGCACGGGAATGGTTGTTGGGAAAGGACGCAAAAGGTCCGAACTCTGTGCCAAATTCTTTAACGCCAAGAGACCCTCCCCCCAGCCAGTGACAAAATACGCCCTTCTTCAAATGGGTTTGATGGGACTACGATGATGTTCTAGATTGAACTCACATTTATACGAGCACAGTATGGATAGACCTCACCATCTGATTAAGCCCTCATCAGGAAGACGGTGTTTGACGTGTGGAAGCTCAGTCTGATATGCGGGTCTGTATTCGTCAGAAAGGGTGTTGCGCTGTTGAGAAAGAAAGGGAAAAAATGGTGCACTTCCTTACATTTCTGGTAGTGTGATATTTCCCCGCCCTGTCGAAGGGATTTCCTGGAAAATGGAGGTAGTTGAGTCAAACTCGAGATGTAGGGGGTCACATTCGAAGCGGCATGAGGATTTCCTCATCGCCGTGGTCCTGCGTATGCAGTATGCAAAGAATCTGGAGCAGATCAACAATGGTGCTTCAAAGGCAGCTGGCACGATAAGTCCCTAAGACGAGTAGGATTAATACGCCTGGCAAGGTGAAATTCCGCGCCCCTGAGCAGGCACTGTGTAGCGCCTTTTTCAAGGAACGTACCCTTATAAGGCCCTTTCAAGCTGCAACACCGAACCGACCCGAACGCCCACCGCGCCCCCGCCCACAGATGGACGATGGACGACCTGACGCTCGTATTGTTTCATTTGCGAAGTAAAATATGAAGCGAAGGGATTGACATGAAGCGGCTGCGGTGCTGCATGGATATGTGAGGTGCATACATGCAGCCGTATCTACCGTAGCGGTTGTTGGCAAGATGCCTACGGGAAACTCGTCCGAAATTGCTTTTGAGTCATTAAAACGAAGGCTTTTCTTCGCAGGTTTTTGACCGTTTCACTTCGTTTTTTCGCCATTTTCCCACTATATAGCGCCCTGCTAGCATTTCAGATTGAGTACCAAATTATCGTGCCATGTGCCTTCAAGAGGTCTGCCCGATTTCGACTTTTTCCGCGATCCGCGGAAACACATTCCGCATTCAAAGTTTGTGGGCAGTAGGTTCAAGAACAAGACTGTTTGTGCTACTTAGCTCTATAAGGCCCTCCTTCTTGATCATGACCACGTTTCAGCACAAATCCATTAGCGCGACAGCATGGGGAGCCAGCATAGGACTCATCGACCTAGATGATAAGCTTGTAACATGCTTAGCGCACTTTCAACCGCGAGGGCACTTCCGGCGGTGACGGATTTGGGAACCTACTCTAGGAGGGGCTTGGACACTTCATTCATCGTGAACTAGGCATTTAATTTGTTCAGAAGGTCCAGTTATTAGATATGGACTATGGAAAGAAGCACGGATTTCTTTTTTTTTGTTGGAAGTTCAATGTTTACGCGCTTTGGAATCGACGAAAAAGACGATTTTCGGTTCAAATGAATGAGTGCACTTCATCGTTGGTCCCTTCGTACACATTCTTAGGCAGCCACGATGACTTTTAACGCCATTGTGGAGCCATATGGCAACAACAACCCTCGAATTTTAATCGTTTGCCACCGTGGGCTAGAAATTGAATTCAGTCCCCGTGCTGGTGGCACCGTTAAATTGATGCAACGATGTGGGTGTTTTTATGGAGTATGGCGCCTGATCGACGGTCGCATTTAAATGTTGCTTATGATGCCGGCAACGAAGCGTAACCACGATCAGAATCCTTCTTTTGAGCGTAGGATGACTGATGGCTGAGCGTGTGGGTGTCTGACGACAAGCGGATAACGAGTCTAAAGTTCAACCCACAGCGGGCCGCTTGCTGCTCCATCTAACCACCAGAAAACGAATCCGTCGGTTTCTCAGACAATGTCATTTTAAAAAATCAATTCCATAAACAGGGTAGATCTTCCACGTTCGAGAACATATTTTCGGAGCACGGTTTACCAGATTTCCTCTTCTAGCACGGCCCTCATCCCCATTCCTGGATCTTCCTGTCGTTCTTGGAAGCCAGAGAGGTCTTATTTTTTCCTAGGGGTCAAGAAACGACCAGGCCCCCGGCTCCTCCAGCGGACCAAGTTTCACCCCCCTTCAGATGGCGATGCCCAAGCGTGCCAGCGTGCCTTGGTTGCCAAAGTAGCACGACTTGTCCGAATTGAAGGAACGGATATCTTATATTTTAATGAAAGTTATTGAAATTACTTTCATTGATCGACTAAAAAAGGAAGATAAAGTGATTGTGAAGAGCATGAATTGAACGGCGGTCCGCATGGTTAGGCCGTCTTATGATAGGAAAGGAAGATCGAAAACATTCCATGCAGGGCTCGAGAAACTTGCAAGCACTATGTGGGCATGAGTTTGGAAAGCAGTGTTCTCAGGTTGAGTCATAGATCAGAAGCCATGTCTCGCTCCACAAATGTTCAATTTTTTCCTGAATCAAGTTGAAGAAAGAACCAAATATTCCAATATTGCATTCCGCAGACGATCAATTCCGTTCGTCCTCTTGGAGTTCAGGAGTGGACAGCGCTGATGATTGCGAAATGTTTTCGACTCCTATATCTGAAGGCTATCTGAAGCTCTGGCTCAAAATTGGGGAGCTCTTTCTACACTTGTTATATGCGTGGAGTCGCCTAGACCATCGTACTGGTTGATGGATTTACTTCAAGAACGACAACCAAAGAGGTTGACCGTTGAGGAAAGAGCAGTTGCTGAAGTGTGTACGTATGTAGGCGAGGAATGTGCCTTCAAAATGGAGCAAAAGCCTGGTGTGATAGTGAAGATCGCCTTGACAAGTGGCGCGCTCACCACTCGCGCGGTCTGGGTTCGAATCCCGGGCCGACTTCCGCCCAGGCCAACCAAGCCTTCTACCCTCCGGGGACGGTAAATTGGTACCAGATTCGTCTGGGAGGATAAAACACTGACTTGTACATCGGCTGGCCACCGCAAGTCATTGTATAGGCCACATCGCATTCAATAAGCCACTACGATTCTGAATGGAAGTAGAATGCGTGCCGCATCCCACGAAGGGATTGATAAAACGGCGAAACTTTATCCTTTTATCCTTCGCAAACATGTCCCTTTTATTGCTGTGCATTACAAATATTATGAAGCTATCTGGTTATATTAGTTGCAAAAAAAAACATATTGAGTGCTTTCACTTGCCCCGTACTTTGGCCGAAAAGGGATGTCTGCATGACAGAGGATAGGAACCGATTTTTTCCTCTTTCTTTTTTGTGCTGATGCTTTGGCAGTACGTGATATAGTTGACATAGGGGTATTCCATCTTGTCCCTAGTGGCCACGTCTCAATCAGTCAAACAATGACTGCATCAGCGTAGTTTTCGACGACCTTTCGCTGAGTTCCAACTAAAAGGTTTCTTCTCGAAAATCGACCACATCGTCAGGTGTACAGGTGATTTTCAAGGAGCAAATGGAACATCCAAGATGGATTCTTGTGAACGTTTGTGCATGGACATGGTGGCTCGCTATGGAAAGAACATGATTGGATATACTCTGGCATAGCTCTATACCGCTGACAAACCTATGGGACAACTGAACGACTGGACATCTATTACGGCTATAACAGGGTATCCTGACAAGAGAATCATAATTCACCGCGCTGATGGGCGTCGCGTGCGACGTCGCAAATCACAATGGGTACAGGTAGTATATGAAGACGACCGGCAATATAGAACCGAAAATAGCCATGAATGTCTACGATGACGGGGTCTACATGAAGTCCGGTGCTCCAATCGACAGGTCAACACGAGTTAAGGAAACGTATCGCTGCGCGCGGCGGAGCGGCAAATTACGATTCTCTTGCCCGTCTCCCGCTACATCAAGCCTGATATTGGATAACTACACTTTGGTTTGATATGAAAAAAAATAGTGCGGTCGCTTGACTTCTCGCTACGAAGGTTTGGGATCATTACGCTCTCAATCGTTTAATTAACTTAATACTTATATACGCGCCTTACCTGTTCAGTGCTTTACCACTAACGGAGGAAAAGGTATCCGAATTATTTTTGATCGCGCGATGTCTGTACTTAGTTCTTTACCACCGAACTGTCAACCTGCCTAGAATACCCACAGTCAGCCCTCCTCAGAAGAGCTCAGACTCACGGCCTTAGGTGAGCAATATCCTGGACCTCTTCGCTCCTTCGGTCCTGGACCTAGCGATCTTTTCTTTTTTGTTTTTTGGAATTTTAGCCACTTGTTTTCCTCTTAAACTCTCCTCTACTTGTCGCGTAAAGGCGGGACAGATCTACGCTGATCTTCTTCCATTCATGAATCGCCCAGTGGATTCTTGAATGTCGGGCCGTTTCGGTGTGCCAAAAATGACTTGCGGGGCTGATATAAGATAGTGTCCTGTCCTCCCGGTCACTTTTTTTCTTTTATCGTCCCGGAGAAAGGAGAGGTTAGCGTTAAATCTCTTAATTGCTCGGACTCGGCTTCAGAACTGGAGACGAGAGATGGTTCACAGAAAGATTTTCGTGAAGTGCCTTGTAAGATTCTCCTCTTGTAAGAGTAAGAAATAAATTTTCTAGGAGACCGGGATAGCTAAAAGTGACACGAAAACTTATTTATTCTATGTCATTATATCAGTAGAACCGGTCGTGGGCTGCCCACGGCGCATTACTGCGCCGAACTTCTTAAACCTTATTGGTTACTGATGCGCAATGGCAATCTCTCTCTGTCGGCCGTGTGGAGTGGCCCCTACAACTTCGCCTTTATTCCCATTGACTGTCAAATACTACTGGCCCATTTCTCCGATCATAATTCTCCTCTTTATCATGAAACACTTTGCCGATGGTGCTTATACAACGCACGTCACCATTCCGTTCCGGAGAATGCGAGACACTTAGCGGTTGAAAGAGTTTCAATGGTAACAATATCGAAATCATAGTGAAGTGTTCTTACATCCTAATTCTTCCGTGAGCAGCTTTCACATATCGGTCTATTGGCGACTCTTATCATTCCTCACTGGCAAACAATTTTAGGCTTTTACTTCTGGGTGGTACTCGAGAGTTTAGCGGTCGGATCAATTCCGACTACATCCTAAGGGATAGGAACATCTCGGTCACTAAGGTTTAGTCCGCATTGATTCTTTTGGGCCGACGGTGGGTCTTTCAGTCGCAGGTAAAGTAAAGATGCAGTGCCTGCTCCCGCGTTGTGCTCCGCATCTCTGCATTCAGAAATGTTTTAGTCGGCTTTCCGTTGGAGGGAGCCCTATGGTAACGTATTATCGGCTTGCTCCTGCTGCCCACCAGTTGTTATGCAGGTCCTGCTACCTACCCACCCAACCACCACCCACTAATGTTCCTATCCTGCCCCATATATTACTTCTTGAAAACAACGTTCTACCGTCGCTGTGACGCGCACGATGGTCGTTCAGTGCATTCCTTTCCTGAGGCTTCCTTTAGTATAGGTCTAATCAGCTCTTATCACTTCCTCGCGCCACCTCCCCACCAGAAAATGTTCCCATCCTATCCTCTCAACCCTACGTTTTATTATAGAACCATTTTTAGGCCGCGTGCTGTGACGCGCGTTCGATGATCGTTGCTGAACTTGCTCCCCTTTCTGAAGGCTCTTTATGGTATCTTTATCTTTGGCGTTATCTACTTCCATGTCACCCAAGCAGAAAAGTCCCCATCCTGCCCTCTATCTTACTTCCTGGAACCAACGCTCTACCGCTGCTGTGACGCGCGTTGTGAATTTGGTGACCCTTACCTTCTAAGGCTCCTTATGGTATCTTATCAACTGTTATCACTCCCTGCCACCGACCAATGTATCGTGCACCGACCCTTTACAATTACTTATTCAGTTTGAGGTGGCTCTATCGCTTTTTTGAAGGAAAGTTATGGAATTTCCGGTTACAACACCCATACAGACGAGAGCACAACATACATTCACACATCAGCACACACACACAGCCAACAGACAATTTCTTAGCGGTTTATTATATATAGTTTAGTGGATAATAGTATAAAACAATACTGATTCAATAAAGACTTACTTGTTGTAGAGTACAACGTCTGGTCGCCAGATCCTCTCATGTGGAATGTGAATTCGTGTGAGGTTGCCGTACTTTCTTGGATCCCAGACCAACTTGTAATCGGTCCACGACTGATGTAACCAGGCGTTTGTGGTGAGAATTTGATTTCGTTCATCCTGAACGTTATTTCGAAGCGATGCTATCATGCTGGCATGTATTTGAGTTCCATAGTGAGTGTATACTGCCCTAGTTCTATGGGCGGAGACGGGCCTACAATTGTGGTGTCCTCATTTGCGCAATCCTCTTTTTTTGTATTCCCTGACATGAGGGGCACCATTGAGGAGAGCACATGATAGGACCGGCTCCGCCCGTACCACATGCGTGGAATGAGCACATAAGAAGACAAGAAGCCCTAGAATGGTTTATCGTGAAGTTAATGATCGGTCGCTGTATTGAATGATCAGGCCCATAGTTACGAGTCCGTAGACGCTGCCTCCGCAGCATTTCAGCGAAAAGGCTAGAACAGCCTAGTGGAGTCGGCGCCAAAGTATTGCAGTCTACTAGTTAGGAAATGCCTGTACGGCTGGCTACTTTCTACCCTTCGCTGGAACTCGGATCTCCTGACCTGCACTCAACCGGTCCGCCTAGTGAGTCTAGGGCGAGCGTGTCTCTTCGGGCGGAGGTCTGATATTTCTAGCCTTTATAAGAACCCACGGCATCGAACAACTCGATTACTTCGTAACTTACTCACCACGTCGATGATTTGCGTAAGCATAAAAACGAAGGTGACATTGATCGGCATGTCGTGCTGCAAGGCGGGACGGACATCTTTCTCATAACCGGCCAGCAGGTCCGTGTACAAGCGAAGCATGTCGTCCGAGGCTAAAAAAATTATGAATGTGAATAAATTAAAAATATGATTAGGAAATAAATATTCATGGAAAGCACTCCACTCAAGAGAAGCACTGGCCAAGGTAATGACAGGTTTCTCCTGGTCTGAATGAATAAGATCTGGGTGTCATTTGGGGTTTCACCTCGCGGGGGCGCGACAAAAGCGACATTGCAGGTGGCATCAGTGCGCGGCATCCGCAGGAGGAACTAATTAAATTAACTTATAGGGCTACTATGATTTCTTTTCAGTTCCTATAGGTGTGTTCAAAATTCGCTTTGATAGGAATTATTTTGAAAACAGCTAAGCGTTGCTAGGCGTGTTCAAAATCCGCTTTGACAGGAATTGTTTCAAAAACAGCTAAGCGTTGCCATGCAGTTAAGGTACTCCCCTTCTTCTACACACTTAGCAGCGTTCTCGATGACGCGCGCCGACGTGCAGCGTTGACGCGCTGTAACGCGCTACAATTGAAACAGCGCTCCAAGGCTAAAGACGCGAAAGCAGTCGCGGAAGGAAATCGATCGGCGCTGCCTGCTTGTGAATTGAGAGGATGTGAGGAATGCTGCTCAATCACGCAGTCTGGAGCGCGTAATCGGGGAGTCTGAACTTTGCCTCAGTTCGCCCATGAAGCACCATTCTACTGCTTATCGCAGTCATTAACGGGAATTTAATACCAGCGTGATTAGGATCTCACAAGGCTCAGGGGTACGGGGAGGTTGCAAGTCCATAGCGATCTCTTCTGGGGGTTATCAGCTGCATCACCTGGCCAACCAAGACGCGTCATAGCGATCATCGAAAGTGGTCATTCAGCATGATTCTCCCTGCCTTCAGGTTTTAGAAAGAACCCCTCTAGCCCACAAATCCACCTTCTACCATTCCTCATCCTTAGTTCTCCTTGCTTACAAACTGGCAGAAGAGCCTCCTGTTCTTGAGGTTCTTCTGCGGCAGTAAAGCAGAATTCTTCTAGCAAACCCTATACAACCCCTCGCTGAGAATGCTCCTGGAACCTTATGCCCTATGTTTAGCTCATCGTTTGTCCCTTGCATTTACTCGTTCTCGTAAGATGTTGCGCTCAAGGGTTGTTGATTGGGTGGAACTCCTCCGAGACTCTTTATCTCCCTATATGAAGGACGACTTGTTTCACCGTCTGCATCCATCATGTAAATCACAGCATCGCCCCATTTACTTTTCACGTGCCGCCCACTAGACAGCCTTTATTCGGCGGTAGAAATGTCTATTAGGTTTTTCTTTTTTAAATGCCACAGAGATTGGAGAGGATTTCCCACGAGATCATGAAGTACGGTAGAATGAAGGCACTATCTCACTTATGCGCTTTTTTACCGTTGTGAAATTGATGGTGGAATTGATGTACAGTATAAAAATAGTAGTAATTTTACGGTAGTACTATAAAAGAAGAAAATATCCAGTGATACAAAATACATAGAAACGTAGAGCTTGGAGGCAGGGCACGCCATCGTGTTGTGATTATTTCCTGAGAAATACGATCCCCTCCCCCTGATTCCATCCTCAAATACGACCCTCCTCCCCATCTGCTACCGGACCGTTTTTCCCAACTTCCTCACCCTTTGGAATTTCCAATTGACGTCCGTCCGCCTCAAAAGATTTTGCTATTGAGACGGTGAGGGGGGGGATGGAGTCGATCCAGAACTTTAACTATCATTCTCACACTATTCGGTTATAGGACGTTATTTGCACAGTATCTTCCGCTCGACAACAACGGTGACCATATCTGACCCCCCCAGCCGTCTCCTTGCGGTCTGAATATTACGCCCTGTTGTGATCATCACAACGATGACGTGACCTGCTTAGAGGGTGTTGGTCACTTTTCGGCTACAAATGCTATGATTGAGACTCGCGTTCTTCCTAGGTGATTACTAGTGGCGAACTTTATAAGGGCTATGAAAACGATGGCCTGAATTTGTTAAGCGCTCTTTCGCCGTGGTTGCGATGTGAATGTTATCAAAATAAGCAGAGTTATCCGCAAAGCCCATAGCCTCAACTGAGCACAAACTTGGACCTAGAACTTTTTGTGCTGCTTGTTTTCTCGTTCTCCAGCTGCAGATTTGAGCACAGGCTGAAGCGGTCCGTTTTGCCCATAACTCACCGCCCCATTATAATTGACATGAACTTTGGGTGGCTTCCGCAGCTAATTTTTATAAATGATTACGCTTTTGAATGCCTCATTTGTTTGTATGGTATTCGAACACATAATTCATCTCAAAGGACAATATCCTACCATATAATATGTCTACAAAAATAGTTCGGTCCCTTTGTGGCGCGCCCCTGCAAGCGTGATTAGTCTGGATGGGTCCGTAACCAGGTAGTATGCCGGTGGATGCCTCCTGGCTCTATCGCTGCTTTTAAGGAAGAATCTGACTCCGCAAAGAAACATCTTAAAGGTGTAAGCTAAAGATTAGCAGAATTGTGAAACCATAAGAAATAAGCAGCAGTAAAATATCGCAACCATGCTGTCAACAAAGCTTCTATGCAGTTAAACTTGGAAACGAAAAGAGATAGACCGTTTGGCGTAGGTCACTCTCCATTCGGGATGCGCCGTGCATCCTTCGTCGTTTCGTGATCGCGATGGCAACTGAATGCGATAAGCCCTATGAGTCGCAGGAGCCAGCCAATATACAAGTCAGTGCTTTGCCCTCCCATTTATCTGTTCCACCACTTACAC